ATGAGCTCCACGGATTATCGCCGAGAACCAAAATGGCTGCTGGTTTGTCGGCGAGTGGTATTACAAAGGGTGGCATCACCCTAGCAAAACGCACATGAAGGCTCCCTAGACCCGGTCATACAAGAGCGCCACCACTCACTCACTGCACCGCCATTACCCAGGAATGCACCTCCCGAACAGAATCCACAACCGTAACCCCTCACCGCTACAAAAGTGGACTCATTCTTCCTGGCGCTTCCCTTTCCCTACAAGTCCCTTCTGCTACCAATGCACCTGCGAACAGAACCTACAACAACCGTCATGCCTCATCGCGCCAAAATTCGACTTATCACCTCCGTGTTTTCCCTTCCCAACAAGCTCCTTCATACCACCAATGCACCTGTGAACAGAACACAAAACCGCCTCCCTCATCGCGACAAAATTGGAATCGTCCCCCCCGTGCTTCCCTTTCCCTAAAAGCCCCTTCGAACTTTCGCGTCAACAAACCCTCCCCCCTAAATATTTTATAAAACTAACCCACCAAGCCATGTGGGCTCCCGTCCTGAAGAAGGCACTGCCACTGCCGAAACGACGACGGAAGTCAGGCCCCTTTCTTATTTTTATTATTTTTTTTATTTTTAATGCTTTATTTTATTTTCTATTGAAGAATTTATTTTTGTAAGTTCTTGTATTTTAACTTTGACTTTTATTCCGTCCTTTTTCAAGTTTGTTTCCCGCGTAACTAGCGTTCTTGTGCCTAGTCTTCATTATTCCCGTAAACTAATACAACTTTTTTTGGAACATCACCCCCTTTTTTTCTTGCGTGAATTTTTTCGCCAATAACTTAGAATTCTACTTTTATCATCCTACGGCTGCGTTGTCCGCGCACTTTACTTTGGCCTATATATCAACGGAAGGACCTGCAAACATTCGCCACTTTCTACGTGTATATATATATATAACATAGGTGACCCAAGTCACCAGGTGGGGTCTAAAATGGACCGTAAAAATCAACGCCTGCACCTAGCAACAAAAACCTTTCGTCAAAGGTGTATTTGACAGGTCGGTACTTTATTGAAAAACAACCAGCGTAGCTCTCTTTCTGTAAATCTAGGGCCAAGAAACTTGCCACGGTCTACGGAGGGCGGCGACGCAGACGCCCAAGACGAGTAGTGGGGTGTGTTTGGCGCTCGTATTGATAGCTGGCGTCGGGAGCAGCCTCTGAAGGTGTAGCCGACCAGTGAAAGAAGGAGGACGATACGCAGACGAAATTCGTTGGCAGCCAAAGCAGCGTCGTTATGCAGACGCGTTTCTTTTACTTTAAGTTTTGCTTTATTGCGTGAATATATTTTTTAACTAAAGGAACATTTCAAAAAGATTATGTTCATTTTAATAAACCACGGTAGTCGCAAGCCGTCGCGATTTGAAGGTAGCACCATCTATCAATACGAACGCCAAACACACCCCACTACCCCACTTGGTCGTCGTCGTCGTCGCTCACGGTAGACCCTGACAAGTTTCTTGGCCCAATTTTCTACAGAAACAAAGCTACGCTTTGTAATTTTACAAGAAAAAACCGACCTGTGAAATACACTTTTGACGAAAAGTTTAGATTGCTAAGTGCAGGCGTCGATTCTTACGGTCCCTTTTAGATCCAGCCTGATGACTTGGGTCAGCCTACCTATATACTTTTTATTCAAGAAACTAAATGTATTTAATGCCTTCGATTGGATAAATTTTTTGTGCATTAATAAGACAGATAGGAAGCACCAGTAAGTGAAGGCTTAGGGATGGAGTGGTAAGCGCAGCCACGCGGGCAGTGGAGGCCCAGAGTTCAAATCCTAGCTCCGCCGTTTATTATGACTTTCGGAGGTTTCAACTTTGATTCAATCACAGTTCTTGATCCGTATGTTTTGGATTATTTCCTCTTCAGAGACCACGCATGATGACGAAAAGCCAAACATTAGTTCTTCCAGAAATTATATCCACCAGGAAGTTATTTTATGCAAAATAATTTGCCTGAACGACGATAAATAGTTAAGGTTAGACCGTTCCGGTTTAGTTCAACTCAGCAGCGACTTGCCGAGCAAAGTGAAGTACCATTAGACAAATCGCAAAATTGCTATTCTATGCAGAAACAAAATACCCATTGTGTTGCATGTCTAAATAATAATTCACACCCAAATAACAAGCGCTGCAGGCGCTCACTCCATACTTGCATTAAGTTGTCGCGAATGCTTGAAACGAACGGTGCACACTGTATAGAATACTTCATGAGATTCAGGATGACGCGTCCTTGTATCTCAACAAAGACAAAAAGAAGACAACACTGCTAACGTGTTAAAATACGATAGCAATCATATCCTAGTACGTAGCGCATTCCTAGAAGCTGCACGCCGCGCTGAGCTCGGCCGTGCAACCTCTCCTGCGTCTGCCCGGAAAGGCTCTGCTGGCTCTGCGGCAGGCCGCTCTCTCTTACCGGCAGCCGCGCCGCTGCGCAATGACGAGGGCTTCTCTGAGGTGCGGCGCTCCTTGGAACTACGCCGTGCGCCAGCCAATAGGGTGGCTTCTACAGGCTTCCCTCCATGGGACAGCGGGATTTAGGTGCCGTTTGGCGCGGCTTCAAAAGCTCACAACGCCGGTTCGCTCCATCGGACAGTTAATGTTTTCGCCTTAAAAGTTGTTCACCCAGCGACGTAACGGCTGGCACCAAGCGGCGGAAGACGGCAGTGACCGTGGCGGGATTGTACTGCCGCCACCCGCGCGCAACACGAGCTCCGGCACCTCGACTACTGTGAGAACGTTTTTCAATTTATGATTCAGGTCAGTGACTGATTGAGTGTGATGACCGTGATGAGCATTGAATAAAAAGACCCTGAGGGACTGTGAGTGTGATGAGCATGTTGAGCTGTGAGTGTGATGAGCATGATGAGCAGTGAGTTTGATGAGCGTGATGAGCTGTGAGTGTGATGATCTGCGAGTGTGATAGGGGGAGCATGATGGCCTGTGAGTGTGATGAGCGTGGTGAGCATGATGAACAGCGAGTGTAATGAGCGTGATGAGCTGTGAGTGTGATGATATGTAAGTGTGGTGAGCGTGATGAGCTGTGAACGTGATGATAGTGACGACGGTGGAGAGTACGTTTTTGTTTCGTGTTTAAAGGGGCGATGCAACAATTTTTCTGCTTTCAATAAATAGAACTTAAAATTGTTCCTTGACATTTATAAACTATGAAACGGATATTGTTTTTTATCTCTACGCAATCGTAGATGAAAAACAAGAAAAAAAGTTCAGAGTAAAACTAACACCTTTTACCCCCTCAACTCGCAGCTAGAAAAAGCGGCCACGGGGTTTGGAGCCGATTATATGCCGCCAATGTCAAAGCGAGTTGGGGTTGGCAGAGCACAGGGCGCGTGCTGAGTTCAGAGCGTTGTTAATGTTTGGCTATTCCCGCCCTCCCAGCGATTTCGCGCGAGTCACTACCCGAATGCATGCTGAGGCATTGATTGTCACGAGCCAAACTCAAATGCGTACGCAGTCTTCGTGTCCACTGTATGAGCAGCACTTAAATATCGTCACAGCGGGAATCACAAGGTTTCGTGACGCACACCTGGGGATGGCATTGTTGGCATTGTCCTCACAGCTCCCTCCGTCATCAATTTTTGGGAAGAAGAGAGTGAAAGAAAACGTCCCCTTCTATCTTCGGAATTGCACCACGACGAAGACGCTTCTTGGTTTTTCTTGGTCAGTGGCGTCGCGTTCAAGTACACTTGGGACCCACTAGTGCCAGTAAGCTGGTGTAAAGTGAGACGCCTTCCCACCCAATATGATTGCACGGCGCCTTTCATCGTGATGCTGAGTGTTTGTGATGACCTTGTTTTGAATACATCGTGATGTTAGTGTGAGCGAGTTTTAGTGGCGCGTTAAATCGTGATGGCGAAAGTCTGTGACGACCCTGTTTTGAATACATCGCTGTTGTGAGTGAGTTCTGTTGCGGGGAAAAGGGGGTGATCGTGAGTGTGAGTGAGGGCAGCTCAAGTTACCAATGCCGAGGACGGCATTGGTAACTGTCTCGGGCTTTCGGAAGGCGAGCAGTTGATGATCGTTTTGTATTCTCTCAGCACCTTTGAAAGCAAAAAAAAAAAGAAAAGTGATGTGCAAAAAGAAAAGAAAAAAAAAGGAGTGCACAGATTTTTCTTACCAGCTCGTTTGTGTTTTGATAGCTTTTTTTTTCGTTGGAAAGAAACATTTTGATTTTGTAAGGGTGCCTACTATTGTTTTGCAGCGAGAATCCGGTTCTTTGTATCAGTGTGCTCCCCCCTCCTCCCCCTTTCCATCGCCATGGGAGCGCAAGCTGACGACATACGACTTGCAAACCACCAAGCCATAAAATAAAAAAGAGTTGAGTCCAGGTTTTAGGTGACGGGAAGAAAGTTTTCAGGCATCTGAAGAACCACAGGCCTTGCGTTGTGTGTTTTCAGGTCAGAGTGCGATTTCGGTAAAACTTACCCTTACAAAAAACAAATTAGACACGATTTGTTTTGTATTTTATATGCCCACGTTATTTTTGTAAATTAAAAAAATGTAACAGATTACAATCATTCCCTTACGTAAATAAGTAAGAAAATTACTTTACAATTATTTTGTAAACAATGTGATTGTTCCCTTACAAAATTACTGATCAATGTTAGAGATTGCAAGTAACTTCTTTACTTGAAACAGGTTGCGTACAAGTCTGAGTATGGGCTATAGCCTACCTAGGGGGCTCTACAGCAGCCAACTCGCCTCCTCAGGTTAGTGAAATTAGACTGTATTTAAATGCGTAATTGCTTCGCTGTAAACGTTTTATCTCTTCCACTATAACAATAATCATTCCTAACCAGAAAGTATCGAAATGCTATCTTTAACATAGACCCAGTCCTATACTCCTGCTAAACGACCCGATGCTGCTATATCAAAGCATGTCTTAACGTCACAAAAATAACAGTGTAACAGAGACCATTCACAACCCAGGGACGTTTTTATTTAATGGCTGGGAGTGCGTGCACTTCTCCCAAAAACAGCAGACGGCCGGTAGCCTTCTCGCAGATGTAGAAGAGGAAAGGTCTATTCACGACAAAGGATTGTGTACGATTTTTGCCAGCACGCACTGCTGTTGCGGCGGCGGCCACCGTGCCTTCTTCGTTGATCTCAATGGCTGCCTTGTGCTGGACCTCGGTTACCACCTGCCCTTCGCCGCCAGGGATTCCCGACAGATCGGCGTCAGAGAAGATGGAGCCCACACCCAACTTCTTCAGGGCAGGAACGAGGTTGTACTCCGTTTTCAAGTCGAACTTAGGAAGTTGAAACATGAGAACCGTCTCTTTCAAATTTCTCAGGATTTTTTCTATGCTCTCGACAGTTATGGCCTGCCGAAGTTCGGCAAGTCCATTTTTTTCATTGGGAAATACGAATATCATGCTGTGTCTGCCCCCTTTGTAAGGATGTTCTATGGCTTCACATTTCAGGCCGGGTTCAGAGGTGAACAATACCGTGCCGTCTCGCGACATGGTTTCTACCATCACTACCTCAGATCCTTTGTTGTAAAAAGGAAATGAGAAGGAATACTTGAGATCGAAAGGGGTCTCCCATTGCCCCTTGAAGTAAATGGCATTGAGAAGCGCCGTTATGGTGCCTGCAGGAAGTTTGAAGCCCGAGATCTGGTCTTTGGTCTTGTTCTTTACCCACTCGTTAACCTCGGATTCCATGGCAGACTTTTCTCCCCGAACGTCCACCGACCGATACATCGCCGCAAAGATGTCAACGAGCTCCTTCCGGTAACTTTTGAGGACTTTCAGCTTCTTCTGCACAAAAACTGCGTTGGCTATCATCAAACTTACATTGTCATCAGTCTGCTGTTCTGCCAGAAACTTTTTGTAAGACTCCAATGTAGATTCTCTGCTAGGCAGTAACGCTGCGGTGTGGCCAAGAGCAATGGAAATTTCCGCTTCGGACTTGCCCCTGGCGGCGGCGTAGACCATTGCGAGTGCGACGGAGATGCTGGTCGGCGAGAAGAAGATGTTCGATTCCGGTTCTTCGCTGCACAGTTCCTTGAGAAGCTTGAGGGCAAAACGATTCTGGGCACGGGCGAGCTTCATGTCACTATCTTCAGCATTGCATTCGCTATCCCCCGCTAGCAGAACGAACAAGACGATCAAAACCTTTTGAGCAAGCATCATCAAAAGAGGACTTCCCTTCGGTTCTTCCACGTCCCTTTTTGTGTGTATTTATTCTCTCATATACAATGGGCATCTTTGGTCGTGGAAACAAACGGAATATCTAGCCAATAAAACAATACACATCTACGTATATTCTTAATGTGCTCGTAAGTTGTTCATCTGCCAAGCATACGCGGAATCCGTAAAAATAAGCATACGCAACCTTCAAGCCTCAAACTCATTCCATATTCATAACATTGTGATCATTGTTCGAATCCTGCCACTTAGTTTTCCCGAGCTTTTGTTATGGCTCACACTTGCTTGCCTCGTTTCTTTTAAGGTGTCGTTAAATGAGCTATTATGATACCTTTTAAGATGTACTCCAGTGTTTATTGCACTTACAAGCTGAATGGTGAAAATTTCTGCGATTAGAAATAGAACTCCAAGCACAATAACTGCAAAAAATGACCTGCTGTGTGTGTGTGTGTGTGTTAGTGCGCGCGCGCGCGAGTGTGTGTGTGTTTGTGTGTGTGTGTGTTTGTGTGTGTGTGTGTGTGTGTGTGTGTGTGTGTGTTTGTGTGTGTGTGTGTACGCGTCTGTGTCAGACTTGTGCCTATCTCAAATACTCGACTCAAGATACTGTATTTAAAATACTTTTTGAAGTATCTTGCAAATACTTTTGATCGGGAGTATTTAATACTCTATCTTAATTACATTTCTGAGTATCTCGTACTTATTATCTCAAATACATTTCTGACATTCCACCATTTTCCGAGTTTTTCGGTGTGAAGTGGCGTGGGCGTGGCACGAGCAAACGCGAACATTCTTTCGAGCAACCAAATCCCTTTGCTAGCTCTGATTAGCTACGGTGACTTTGGTTGAGCTCGGGAAAAAAGACATCGCTTTTTTGCCGATTCTGACTCATATTTCAGCCAAAAGTTTGTACAATGAAGGTTTTCCCCTCGCGTTTCCAAAGGTGCCTTTTGTTTTCTAGAGTTTCCCCCGAAAAAACCTCAAACAAAATGGGTGGTTTTAGCGAAGTTAGGATTGCCGAAATAAGGCGCGACGCAGACCGAGAAACGACCTACGACAACAATGCAAACTTGGTTGTCAAGAAAATAATAAATGAAAAAAAAAGAGGTGGACAGAGTTTTTTTTTTTTTTTTGTATATTTGATTTTTTACGGCAGAACTTCTAGACTTTCTTTTGTTTATTTTCTTTTTGTCTTCAGTCCGTCACTTATTGCCCTGGCGAACAGTGTCTGTAAGCGAACATCGATAAGCAGAAAACAGGACAGGAAACGAACAAAAAGCTGGATGACCTCTCAAATTCCCAACAAAGCGCCCCCAACGCTGAGTGCCTTTCTGACTGCAACCTACTTGAAGAAGGTGCGTCCACTGCCATGGCTATTATGTGTGTTCTCTTCGTTATCCATTCACTCATATCCGTATCCCAAGTTTGTTTATAGTGAACTTCCCATATAGGGAACATGGATTGTAGGTAAACGATGCGTCTAAGGTGTGCCGCAGGACGTGATATTCAGCGATGTCACTATAGCTAAAGCGACCTCTTTATTTCTATCCGAGAAATGTTTTGTAACATGTATCCGTGATATTGCCACGCGCTTTGCCGAGCGAGCATGAGGCCGAATGGTTACCGCGCTTGGCTCTCGCGCGGAGTCTCCGGGTGCGATTCCAGGGAGCGGACTCCTCTTTCATTTATTCTTTCAACTTGACATTCTTGTAAGTTCGAGAACCTTGTCGTCTGATTGAGTTACGAATGTTCTTCGCGCGGGAACGTTCTATGTTGAATGTTCCAGAAACCCACACGGATACAAAAGGTGCTCCGCGTGGCGGTAGTGAAAGCTTGCGCTGGGAACCTCCTTGCTTCGATCCCCAGCGCCCTCGCCCGTTTTGATCTAGGTGAGTTTCGTACCGGCACGCGTTCATGTAATCACTACTGCGTGATGCACGTTAAAACCCCAGGTTAGCGGTTGTACTGCAGGGGCTAAATTTCTCATCTACAGTTAAGCTAGCGGTCACCTGTTAAGGCGTACTACCATCAAGGTTGTATAAACATACAAAAGCAAGCCAATTTTGTTTAATTTTGGTCCGGAGTTATGGCTCATTCACACTGGAAGTGGATCCGCGTTCGCGAAGCGGTTGCGGATGCGGTTCGCGAGAGACCCCGTTCAGACAAACCGAGAGGCGGTTGGCGGTTTCTCGGCGATCATGCGTGATGTTTTGAGACTTGCGTTTGGCAACCCTGTTTCACAATCCACAATCCACTTTAATCAACGATCCAAAGCTAAAATTTTGCTATTTTGGCACTCTGAAGATTTTTCTCCATGACGTTCGCACGCATCCAGTGTTGCCAGATTGGGCTATATATAGCCAAATTGGGCTACACTTTTTTTTCTATTTGGCGTCAAAATTGCGTTGTTGGCTGCGTGGCTATTTCGGGCTATTTCTAAAGATTCTGCAACTTTTGTCGAAACCTCAGGTTCGACGTCAAACTTTGAGGTCGACCAGTTAAATTTCGAAGTTCTTATCGGCTTCAAAAAAAATCGTCTCTCTTTTGTCCAGTCTAGAGGAGAGAGAGGGAGGAGAAACGTTTCGAACTTGAACAAACTATGGGGTTTTCACAATGCGCAGAGAATCAATGCTTGCAGAGTTCAAGCGGTCTCCCCACAGCGCAGTCGAGCAAACCAAACATATTTCACTATTACCACAGGCCCGGTAGCGCGTGTTCTACTCGAACCTATGGTTTGGTGCCCATTGTGAGAATCCTTGGGCATCCAAGTTCCTAAGAACGAGAAGTCCGCAGCTTCGCCGCTAAACAATTGACTACCTTCCAGTCTTCGCCCAACCCAAGAAAGGGCGGTGAACCGGAATAGGGGACACTCATATTCTACACAAAGAAAATAGATGGGTGAAATATTGTTAAGGACCTTAGATACTGGGGTTCTCGTTTGAAACTACTAGTGTTCTTACTGTTCTGCTTCTGTGTTTTGTTCTTTTACTGCATGATCAAATCTTCCAGGCTTCACAATAAAGCTGTCTTTTTCGGTTTTCGTATTTCTGAAAACGTGCGAAGGAAGGGTCAGTGCTGCACAGATTTTCATGCCTCCGCAACATATTTTTCAAAAATTCATAAGTGACATAATGTACCCAAGGTGCGGCGCATCTGAGGGTTAAAAAGAGATGCAACGTGTTTTGGGGTATATGTGTGAAAAATTGTCAATAAAAGGCTTGAAAATAATTGTTTTAATCTTGGCTATTTTGGCTATACTTTGCTTACGGCTTCGGCTATATTTGGGCTATACTTCCCAGACGTTTGGTGATTTTTTGTGGGACCATCTGGCAACACTGCGCACATCACGAGTTCAGGTAGCGAAAAAAGAAGCCTAGACCCGCGAACCTCGCCTGTGATTCCCTTGACTTCGCCCACAAGCAAAGCCCAGCTAGGCGTGCATTGCTGACTCAAAAGAGGATGCCCCCGACCTTTTCTTCGAAGTGGACCCTTCTCGCATGAATAGCTGGTCTTGTTTTCAAGATAGAGGGACAGTTTTCCCCCCTTGTTCGCTCTTATCATATTCGAAGTTGGGAGAAGTCGGGTGGACCGTGGTACGGGCGAATGAGTTCGGTGCGAGCCGGTCGTCGGCTTTGTTAGTGGCGGACTCCTCTCGTCACTCGCGCGTCGATCGAGTCTACTATTTGTTTGTCATTCAGCTCAAATAAACGCCGTAAGGATTACCTCTGCATTGTCTGGTACGTACCCTTTATTCCTTGGGTAGGTTCCCTTTATTTCTTTTGTTAGTAGTAAACGTTACAGGTCGAGCTAGCGCAGGTACCCTGCCCCCTCCGCGGTAGTGCGTTGGCTACGCAATCAGACTGACAGCGTCTCTATCGGCCTTCGTGGTTTTCATTACGATGTCTAAAGCTCTCAATAGTCCACGCGACTATCTTAGTGGGTACAAAAGCTGACATTTCGGTCGATCAGGGGCGGGTTCCGACGTTCCACGGGCAGAGACTAACAAGGCAGCGAGCTTCGGGCTGTGGCACCCGGAATAATAAACAAACTCTTACCCGAACCAAATCACCGGTGCGAAGCCCGTTAAGATTATGAGTCAATTCTTTTCGAGGCGGAGATAAGTGACGGACGTGAACATCACGTTTCTCCTTTGATTTGTCTGCTGTAACGCTAGGAGTACAGCGCCTTGGTCCCCTCACCAGCGACAGACCTGTGCCATCTTGTTTCGAAAGTCACCTAGAGCATGCAAAAATATATATCTGACTTACTAAAAGAAATTTAACAAATAGTTGCTGTTCTCAAATGATTGGTTATTGCAATTATAACGCAAAAATCATACGTTCCTTCTAAATCTAACTGAAAAAAAGAAAAACTAGGTTATTGCTGCTCTCATGGCGGAGTTGGCAACGCACGCTGCTGCCACGCGGACCAAAAAGGTTCGAGACCACTCGGCCCGGTTCTTTTTCTTTTTAATCTTTGCTTTTCCGAAAACGTTCAGCCCATTCGCGGCTGTCATCGCGTGTTCAGGTTCGGGACATTCCCGAATGGACCGCTTGCATAAAAACAGAGGCAACGCGATGTTTTGGGGGTGGTCATCCTTCTGTCGCCGATGTGAGGGGGTACCACATGGCCTTCGATGGAGGCATCTTTCTTTTTAAAAAGAGGCGATGGAACGATTTGTTTACTTTCAGTAACTAGCGCTAGGAATTGTTCCGTGACATTTATTACCCGTAAACCAACACCCGCCTCATGCGTAATGCAGCAGTGGTGGCGCTGCTTTCGAGGCGTGCGCCTGCGCACACGTGTCACGTGACACGGGTTTCTGCGCACGCGCATTGACCACACCTGGTTTCGGCAAAATATGAACTTCTTTGTCAACAGTGTGTAGGTCTATAAAACACGCGTTAGGTTGTTAATGTTTTTCTGCGCAGTGGAAGTCACAGAAAAAGCTCGATAAAGACGAGCCGCATTGCAGAAATAAGGCT